TGCAGGTTAAAAAGTAGTCTTATACGCAGGAAAATAAGGTAGTTTGGTAGATGTTGGGAATGCTGCGTGTGTCATTTATCTTGATCCCAACAAACTACATGATAAGGGGCCTTTGCAGACTGCCAGAAATAGTGCACATTAAATTGAGGCACTGCCCTGGCTCAGTGCTTGGGAATCATGGGAATTGTATTTTTTTCTGGGACATTGAGCCTTCTCTGTCAGAGAGCTCTGGTGCCACAATAAATTACAGTTCCCATGATTCCCTAGCACTGAGCCAGGGCAGTGCCTCAATTTAATGTGCACTATTTCTGGCAGTCTGCAAAGGCCTAAGGTCTCCATAATATTTGATTAGCAAACTGATTAAATATAGAATAGATGGAAACACGCTCAGATGGATCTGTAACTGGTAGGAAAACTGTGCTCAAAGAGTCGTTATCAGTGGCTATGCTTTAAACTGGAAGTGTTTCTGTCCTAGGGCGATTATTCTTCAACACTTTAGTTTCTGAAGCGGTGGAGGAAATCTTTATTAGGTTTGTATTTGACACAAAACTGGGAGGGGTGGTTAACACATTGGAAGATAGGAACAGAACTCAAAAGGTCCTAGATAAACTAGAAAATTGGGCAGAAACAAATAAAATGAAATTCAACAGAGAGAAATGCAAAATCCTACATTTAGCTCACAAAAACCAAATGCAGATGGGGGATATATGACTCAACAGTACTGCTATGAAAATGGCTTTGGGATTACTGTTGATTATAAAATGAATATGAGCCAGCAATGTGATGGAACAGCAAAGAAGGCAAATGCTATTTCAGCAGGCATTAATAGAATAACAGAATTAACAGTGTCCAAGCTGAGGGAAGTAAAAGTCTCACTATATTCTGCACTGGTCAAGCCTCATCTGAGTTCTGCATTCAGTTTTGGGAGCCCCATTTTAAGGATATAGGGCCTTTGCAGACTGCCAGAAATAGTGCACTTTAAATTGAGGCACTGCCCTGGCTCAGTGCTAGGGAATCATGGGAACTGTAATTTATTGTGGCACCAGAGCTCTCTGACAGAGAAGGCTCAATGTCTCAGAAAAAAATACAATTCCCATGGTTCCCTAGCACTGAGCCAGGGCAGTGCCTCAATTTAAAGTGCACTATTTCTGACAGTCTGCAAAGGTTCATAGACAAGATGGAGCAGGTTCAAAAGCAGGGCAATTAGGATGACAACAGGTATAGCAGACACAACTTATGAGGAAAAACTGAAGGAGCTGGGCACCATGTTCAGCTTGGTGAAGAGATGACTGAAGGGTGACTGAATGCAGTCTTTAAATACTGAAGGGCTGTTACAGAGAGGAAAGTGCAAGTACGCAGACAGCAGGACAAGGTCTAACAATTTTAAGTTACAGGAAGATGGATTTTGATTGAACATCGAGAAGTAGCGGGAGTCTCATTCTCTGGACGTCTTCAAAAAGAAGAAGGAGAGCTACCTGCTGGGGATGCCTTAGCTGGAGATCCTGCAATGAATGAGCAAGGCTTGGATTTGATGGCCCATGAAGCCCTTTCCAACTCTGTCTCTGATTCTAGTTGACTATAAAGATTCCTTGGACTGTTGTGTAGCAATACTGGAGATATTAAAAATCGTTAGAAGTTCTGCCATGTGTCTAAAGGAAACAGAAACCAGCATTTACACGCCATCTTTATGAATTACACTTTGTATGATAATACTAGTCAATATTTATGAGAGGCTTTTGAGTATTTAAAACCTTTCAAATTCATTGTTTTACTTCTTTATTAAATCTATTCCCCACGTTTACAATAAAAATAGTGACCACAGCACAATGAAATAAATTTAACATAAGGAAAGCATTTAAAAATTGTTAAAAACTGAACTAAAACTATGGGACAGAACACACTGCAGAAATAATCCAGTTTGAGACTGCTTTAACTGCCCTGGCTCAGTGCTAGGGAATTCTGGGATTTGTAGTTTATTGTGGCACCAGAGCTCTCTGACAGAGAAGGCTAAATGTCTCACAAAACTGCAGTTCCCAGAATTCCCTAGCATTGAGCCAGGGCAGTTAAAGCTGTCCCAAACTGGATTATTTCTGCAGTGTGTTCTGGGCCTATGTCAATAAAAACTAAGCAGCACCTTCATCTAAAAATATACCTTAAAAACAGGTTATCTTAAAAGCCAAACTGAACAAAAAGATCTGTACCTGAGAGTGGAGGGAAAGAGAGGGCCTTTGCAGCCAGCTAGAAATAGTGCAAATTGAGTCCATTTTAAGGGTTAGGGAATCATGGGAACTGTATTTTTTTGTGGCACGAGAGCTCTCTGACAGAGAAGGCTCAATGTCTCAGAAAAAAACAACAATTCCCATGATTCCCTAGCACTAACCCTAACCCTTAAAGTGGACTCAATTTGCACTATTTCTAGCAGTCTGCAAAGGCCCAAAGATGGAGCAATTCCATTCATGCCAAGTCACAGTTAACACACATGTGAAAAATACTTAATTTTTACCAATACATTACAGCGTCAAGTTAATCCCATAAATCTAGTCTTCTACCCTCCCACAATCACTGTGCAAAAGCAAAACAAAAATCTAAACATCGAAAAAGAATTCAGGTCCTTCCCACATCATAAATCCTTTGGCTGCCTGAAGAAACTGACTCAAATGTCATAACTCACTCCTTACATAATCTGAGTAGCAGTTCTGGGAGAAAGCATGCTAAGTCAGTAACAGTTCCAGCCTCAATTTTGTGTTTGTGTGTTGTGTGTGGCTTCACGTTTCCTGTTGACTTATGGCAACCCCATTAATTTTGTAGGGTTTTCTTAGGCAAGGAATACTCAGAGGTGGTTTTGCCAGTTCCTTCCTCTGAAATATAGCCGACAGCACCCGGTATTTGTTGAAGGGCTCCCATCCAAGCACTAACCAGGGCTGACTTTGCTTAGCTTCCAAGATCAAATGGGATCTGGTGCCTTTAGGGTATTTAGGTGTTTTAAAGGGTATGTAAAGGCCATGAAAAACCAGCATGGCATAACGGTATGAGTGTTAGACTACAACTCTAGGAGACCAGCATTCGATTCCCAGCTCAGCCATGAAACTCACTAAGTGACCTTGGGCAAGTCACACTCTCTCAGCCTCAGGGGAAGGCAATGACAAACCTCCTCTGAACAAACCTTGCCAAGAAAACCTCATTATAGGATCACCATCAGTTGAAAATGACTTGAAGGCACGCAACACACACAAAGGCTGTATTCCCAAGATAGCTTCTTCCACATTGTGGCAGTACCACACAGTGCTACTGAGATTTTAATACAGGGCAATAGGTATATAAGGTTGTCAGACAAATATGAACTATTCCATTGCACTGTGCAAAGTCCCCATGTTAGCACCAAGAATGTGCAATGTGGATGCCATAACTTTCCGTGTGATATAGAAGTAAAGGTGCGAGCAAGTGCGGTGCAATGGTTTGAGCGTTGGACTATGACTCTGAAGACCAGGGTTCAATTCCCACATTGGCCATGAAAACTACTGAGTGATCTTGGGAGTCACACTCTCTCAGCCTCAGAGGATGGCACTCGCAAACCCCCTCTGAACAAATCTTGCCAAGAAAACCCTATGACAGGTTTGCCTTAGTGTTGCCATAGGTCTGAAGCAACTTGAATAGAGGTGACCCTACCATAGGGTTTTTCTTGGCAAAATTTTTTCAGAGGAGGTTTGCCATTGCCTTCCCCTGAGGAGGCTGAGAGAGTGTGACTTTCCTAAGGTCACCCAGTGGGTTTCATGGCCAAGCTGGGAATCGAACCCTGGTCTCCAGAATCACAGTCCAACACTCAAACCATTACGCCACACTGGAGCCATGTCACAGGTAACACATAGGTGAAAAGTACGCCATTTTTATCGATACATAGGTAAAGATTTCTAAGTATAGTGGTCCCTGGGGTTAGGGGTGAAGGACCCCTGTGAATGTGGGAAAACCGAAAATAAAAGACACTATTCTTTTTACCTGGAAGAACACCTCTCTAGGAATCTCCAAGTCTTCCAGTGCAACTCTATGGTCAACATCTGCCAGAATTTGACCACAGAGTCATACTGGAGGACCTACAAATGCCTAGAGAAGTGTTTTCTCTAGGAACCTCTAGGTTCTCCAGCAGAACTCTATGGTCAACCTCTGGCAGAATTGCACTGGAGGACTTAGAAATTCCTAGAGAGGACATAATAATCAAATCTGCAAATAATCAAACCCGCAAAAGTCAAAGCCACAAATGTAGAGGACCAACTGTACTGGAATACATTGTTAAGGTTTCCAGTCCAACGCGTCCACCTCAGGTTTCCAAAACTCTGACCTAGTATTCTCTCAGCAAAAACTCCAAATGACACGGGGGGGGGGGGGGGGGGGGGGGGGGGCAATGCTTACATCTGACTGGAGAAACAGCCTTGAGGACAATGAGGACAAGGTTGCGCCTGAGCATGTACGGAGTGACATTTCACCCCACTACCACCCTAGGAATAATCACAAGTATCTGAAACTGAGAGCCAGCATAACGTAGTGGTTTGAGCGCTGGACTATGACTCTGGAGACCAGAGTTCAAATCTTCACTCAGACAGGGAAACCCACTGGGTGATCTTGGGCATGTCACATGCTCTCAGCCTCAAGGGAAGGCAGTGGCAAACTTCCTCTGAAGAAACCTTGCCAAGAAAACCCCACTTATGGGTTGCCATAAGTGAAAAATGACTCGGAGACACACAATGTGTATGTATGCATGTGTGTGTGTGTGTGTGTGTGTGTGTGTGTGTGTATTTATATGTATATGTGTATATATGTGTATACATATGTATGTGTGTGTGTGTATATATATATATATGATTGTGTGTGTATATATGGGTGTGTGTATATATATATATAAATATATATATATATATATATGATTGTGTGTACAGTATATATGTGTGTATACATATATGTGTGTGTATATATATGTATATGTATGATTGTTTGTGTATATGTGTATACATATATGTGCGTGTTTACATGTATGTATACATGTGTATACATATATATGTATATATATTATTGTGTG